CGCACGAGGAATGCCCTCAGGAGGAGAAGGAGAAGGAGGAGGAGGAGCAGAATTCCTGGCGGTTCCTCGCGGATTTTCGCGCCCGAGCGAGCCGCTCCTATCGCTTTATCGCCCACGGCCGTCCGCGCTTCTTTCTTTCTTTCTTTCTTCAATCGCCTCCGTCTCTTCTCTTCTTCCTCTCCCGCTCCCCCCACCGTTTTATTACGGCTCGCTAACCTTTGACTTTATTTTCGCGCGCGGTTTTCCGTCGCGTTCACATTTTCACACACGATCCCCTTCTCCCCCCCCCCCCCTCTCTCTCTCTCTCTCTCTCTCTCTCTCTCTCTCTCTCTCTCTCTCTCTCTCTCTCTCTCTCTCTCTCTCTCTCACACTATCTCACACTATCTCACTTTCTCCGTCTCTCGCGAATAACCCGCGCGTACACGCCACTTGTACAATCAAAGACGCGTGCATTATGACAAGAGAGAGGACAAGCGGAGAGAACATTGTGTAGGGAGGGGGAAGAGGAGGAGGAGGAAGAGGAAAGAAATTTATTTTTACGACCGCGACGGCGACATCTTGCTTCTTCATGACCGCATCTTCTTGTTCTCTCGAGAAGGACAAGTGACCGAGAAAGGGAGAGAGGGGAGAGGACAAAAAGTCGGAATTAAAACACGATCTATACGTAGGCACGCGCGTGAATCTTATGCGCGGACGCGAAGCGGAGGCCGGGCCTACTCGATATTCGTCGCGGATTCGAACGCCGCCGCCGCTCGCCGGTGCGCGCGAAGCGGCGCGAGTAAACACGCGAGAGGCACGTGGGGTTTTGGGCGCGACGTGCATGCTCGTGGGGCTCAGTTTTTAACGAGGCGTCGAAATCTCGCGGAGCTCGGCCGATTGCGAAAGCCCGGAGAGAAAGGACAAACCTTTTTTTTTTAAGTTTACCCTTTTATGGGCACGCCTTTTAACCATTAGGTTATGTCAGCGAAATGTTTTTAAAGATTTCTTGAAATGCTTAATCTCGATTAAACACTGAATCCAACACCAAGTGCTTAAAACTTCTTCAAGCGATAAATTTTGGAAATTTCTCTTAACGGAAAACTATGCAGAACGAGAGCTGGGATCGAACCGAGGACCTTACCATTACTAATCACTCGTGTTAGCACAGAGATACTCGTCCTCCCCAAGAGGAGGACGATCCTTTTTTATTTTTAAGATTTCTTAAAATTTATTCTTAATCTTGATTAAACACTGAATCCAACACTAGGCGCTTAAAACTCCTTCAAGCGCTGAATTTTGGAAATTACTTTTAACAGGAAAATATGCGGGACGAGAGCCGGGATCGAACCGAGGTGTTTGCCATTACTAATCACTTGTGTTAGCACAAAGCTACCCCCTCTTGGGGAGGACGATCCTTTTTGTTAAGTTTACCCTTTTGTGGGCACGCTTTTTTTAACCATTAGGTTAAGTTAGCGAAATATTTATAAAGATTACTTGAAATTTATTCTTAATCTCCATTAAACACTGAATCCAACACAAAGTGCTTAAAATTTCTTCAAGCGCTAAATTTTGGAAATTTCTCTTAATGGAAAAATATGTATACGGAACGAGGACCGAGATCGAACTGAGGACCTTACCATTACTAATCACTCGTGTTAGCACAGAGCTACTCGTCCTCCCCAAGAGGAGGACAATAGTAAAAAGATGACGATCACGAGTTCGCAAGCTGGCGCGACGAGTGAACGCGCGCCGGAGGCGCGAGAAGTACGGCTGGGGGGGCCGAGCGAGCGCAATTAGAGACCCGAGCCGATCGCCGCTCGTCATTTTCAATCAACTTTTCAAACGCGGAGGCAGGTGCAATTTGCGGGGACCGTCAATGTCGAAGTCGCGACCGCGGGGACGCGAGCGTGCCGAGCGCACGTGACTCGAATTTTTGCTCGTGGCAGAGAAACGTAATTGCCGTCGTTGCACCTCCACGCGCGCGCGAGCCTCGGCCGGGGTCGTGTTGACGATTCGCGCGAGCGCGCGCGCGCGCGTAAGCGATTAAACGCCACCAATTACTACAAATCAACCGACGCGACGATCATCGCCGACGAACGGGACCGACACGCGCGGGAAACCGCGCGCGGTGCGGACGTCTTTCTTTTTCCTCTCCTCGTTAAAGCGCGAGAGATTAGATTTGCTCGCGATCCCCGCGCCCGGGGCCACGGTTTCCGAGGTCGTTAAAACGGGAGTTCATTAGAGATCCGATCCTTCGCCCCCGACGACGGGATTTCCGGATGAAGTGGATAACGAAATCAAGGCGTAATTAATGTCCTGCATACACCGGGCCGCCTCCTCTCCGTCTCGCTCGCCTTTCGAATCGTCCTCCGTCGCGGAAATGAACCTGGTCCATTAATATCGCCATATTACTTCGATTCTCTTATCGTCGCCCGTCGCGGTGCCGCGAATCGGCGCGTCGCGGACAAACGACGTTATCAGCGGGACGATAATTCCGCCGCGATCGATGCACCGTCGCGCACCGCGCCGGTGTGTACAAACGCAATTGGCGACGGGGAACGGGTTAGAATAAATGAATGAGGGATTGGGGGCAGCGGGGCGACGGGGCGACGTGGCCCTGAAGGCTGGCGCCGCGTTCGCGGTTTTGCTATGCACAAATATTCGATTCCGTCATTCGCGCCGCGCGCGGCGTGTGCAGCGTTAATTAAATGCACCGCCGGAGGCGCGCGCGCGCGCGCGCGCTTACGGCACGAGCGTCGGTGCCTCTGCCTCCGCCGTTGTCTCTGCCGATTATCGTCGTCTGGGGTATTCGCGCCGTCAAAGGCACACATCGCACCTTCAGCTGGCGATCGGCGCGACTCGAGAAAAATCCCGGGCGCTCTAAGAGCTCGGCTTATCGGCACGAACAACGGCCAATGATACTTGGGGGGGGGGGGGGGAATTCGGCGTGGACGAGACATCTTGGTAGCTAACAATAAGTCGCGGAACGTCATCGTTCGGTCGTAAAGTATAAAATATTTTTAGAAAGGCCAAAATTTGTCTCCCTCGACTCCCGTCTTCCTCGATGAAAATCACTTTGTATAAAATGTCATCATAAATGTGTAAAGTAATACACGTAGAGGTGTCCTCTATTACGAGATAGGTTCCTAATACAAGATACCGGGTTTTCAGTATCCAATCTCACAAATTTTTTCCGCAGCGATTACACGCGCACGATCTAAACGTATTTTCCATTAAACGGATTTCACTCCGAGGGTAATAACTTTATGATGGAACCAACAGATGATGCCTAGAGGAGAGACCCCTATTATGAGGTTAGGCTCCTAATATGAGAGAGCGGGGATTCTGCTACAATAAATTGATAGGCATTATCTGTTGTTTCCACCATGTATCTATTGCTCTTGGAGTGAAATCCGTTTAGCGGAAAATTCATTGTTAGGTCGTGCGCGTAATTGTTGCGAAAAAGATATCCGAAATTGGATGTTGAAAACCCGCTATCTTATGTTAGGAGCCTATCTCACAATAGGGGACTTTCTTCTATTAATTTAGCAGAAACCCCCGCTATCCCATAGTTTTTTTTGTAAAGCATAAGATAAAATCTCTTTTAATTTCGATTTTTTCCCCTCCACAGTTTTGTTATTCCGGAAACGAGTACACTTTGATATCCCGCACGCGGTGAAATACAAACGGTCGACGAGGTCGCAGAGCCTCGAATCGGGATAAATTCGTGGCGCTGAAATGAATCGTAGAGCGCCGCGTTTTCCCGTAACGTCACGCGCCCGTGGATATTAGTTTTCGCGAGGCGGAGAGAACGCGTTGCGGAGCGAGAAACGGCAAAGCTGCCGTGCGTGTTGAAACCCGCAACGCTCGGTTAAGGATCATAAAATTCCGAGCGAGTGAGGCGACTCCCACGCGACCGCGACGCCGCGGGATTTTCAATGGAAGAAAGCCGTCAGCCGTGAGGTGCGCGAGTCTCCCCGTGATCCAGGTTATCATAACGAGGTGCGTGGCGGCCAGGCGCCAGGACGGGGGCGTCCTTGCCGTATCAATTTCGTAACTCGTCACCGATCGCCGGTGCCGCTGCACCAGCCGGTCGCCAGTGCCCGGCGATAGTGTTTCTGACGCAACGTTTCTCCCGCCTTTGTGAAGACAACTGAATTTTGCGTCTTTCCGCGGGGTCTATCCGTTAGAGGCGTACGAGGATTAATGGGCCGTGCCTCGCGACTATAAAACTCCGCCGCGGCGACGGCGGCGGTCCGCCGCGCGCGCGCAACGTGACTTACCTGAGGTAAACCTGCTGATACGATTGTCCGAGTCGACCGATATGCAATTGGAAGGTAAACCCGTCGCTGAACACGTCCTGTGAGAGACCAGCCCGCAATCTGCGCAACGCAGAAAATTCGCGAGATCAACAACGCGAAAAAACGCACATAGTTCGCTCTCCTTTCTTTTTTCTCAACTCGCTTGTTCTGGTTTCGGAATTTTGCTCGGCGCGATTGTCATGCAAGAGTAACCACGAATGTTAGAAATGTTTACCGATGATGAATTCGACAACTCTCGTAAGATCTGTAGAGGTTGCGCAATTCCCTCAATGATATATACATATATACATATATGAATTCGCTAGGAACGAGCGTTAATTTAGAGAATTAATTCAAGATAAGGAGATCGAGATAACTAATTTGTAATTCGTCGGAAGAATCCAAGGCGAATGCGAGGGACTGAAATGCGCCGAGTGATTCAATCGAGCTCTCTCGCGCCGGTAAAGTCCGGTCCATTTAAAAAGACGCCGAAAAAACGAATCGGGATTCAACCGAAGATCGACAGAGGACGGAAACGTACCTTGGCAGAGGAAGCCTTGATGTAACAGGCCCCTGAGGTATTTATGGCATTTGCCGCACTTCTCCAACACGCTGAAGCTGTGCGGCATGAGATTGTGCGCGTTATTGGCCAGGTTGTTGCCCGGATAGTTGACTCCGAGGGAACAGGCCGATTCGACGGCGACGCCGGCTGCCGGTGTCGTCGCGTTGTGTGCCTGTGTCACCGAGCCCATCGTTTCCATCGCCACCGGGGGCGGTGGCAGCGTTTTGCAGAGTTCCTCGATGCACACCAAAATGTTCCTCTGATGGAATTCATCTTTTATACCCATGTTCTGCAACAAGAAATCACACGGCGGTGTCACTCGCATGCGCTTGAACGGAGAAAAACGCCGATCTGGTCCCCCCCGAGACACGGTTTCGACTCGAATTCTACTCGCGATGACGATGGAGCACGAAACGAAAAACTTTATCGCGCGATTTAAATATATTATCATAAATTAATAGTTGAGATATAAAAGAAAGAATATTCCCAGTGACTCAACGATATCAATACCTGGTGTCAATTTTTCGCGGATCATTATGATTCCTCGTAATGCGAGCGAGCCAATCAGCTTCGACACAAGAGTATCGCGAAATCTGTTTCCGGGGGAAAAGTGAAGAAAAGAATCCTTTACTTCGCCAGGTTTCGTTAAAAAATAATATTTGAAATAAAATTAGAACGCGAAAACGTTTGCCAAACGGAAATTCAGTTTCAAAATGGCTTCGTTCTCGAAATCGATCTATTTAATAATAATCATCAACTGTGTTATACCGAGACATAACGCATGTAATATATGGCGTACAATAAACATCCTATACGACCGCTGTGAAATTATAATTTTTCGATTTGAATACTTGAAGACCATAACTTGAGGCATTTCTGTGACCTCTAATCGATTTAATGCCGTTCGCGTCACAGAAGACGGACGGGGGGTCCATCGGGACCAATTCCGCAGAATCACGCGGCTCTCGGAGCCGGAGACTTTTCTGCCGGCGAAAGTGCGCGCGTGTCCTGATGACGGTTGTAAATCTGCAAGGGGTGTAGCGCGAGCCAAGATCGCGACGGCGCGACTATAAAGAGCGGGCACATAACGCGTGACAAAGTCAAACGTGGGGACAGTTACAAGGTGAATAATGAGGGAAAATAATACGCCTGTCGTAAATAACTCGGGCGCTAACGAGAGTTCAACGCTTCGGAGATAGCGGACCGATTAAGATCCACTGGCCCACATTTTCGCCGACGGGGATTGTCCTCTCCGGTCATTCACGAACGGATTAATTTTTGCCCAGTCCAACCGCCCGATGTCGCGAAATTGTGTAAAATGTCCCATAAAAAATACATGTCACGATTTTTCGATACGGCAATTCGAAACTTTCGCTCTTATTACTGGCTTTCTTTTTTGTAACGAAGGTAATTTATTGGATGGATGTCACAATCAATGCTACCGTCGTTAAATTTTAACCTGACATTCTTAATGATACGTCAGGTTGTGACGAACTATTTTCAATTTCTTGACTTGCCCGTTTAAAAGTTATTAGTTATTGACTATTTTAAGGTAGGGTCTTATGAGAACTTTCGAAAAAGCAAATAATAAATCATTCAAAAACTATAAAAACCGAAGTTAAAGTTTCGATGTTTTTGTACTATGTTCTTCAAACATGTAAAAATGTTTCTGCCAAGTTTCAAAACGATTTGCTTGCTCGCGTGTGTATGAGTATAGGCAATAAGGATTAACATTAATTATAAGTTTAGGTTATATTTCAGCGGTTTAGCAGCGTCAAGGTTTTTTTTAATAAACAATAATATCGTGAGTCACAACCGATATTGTATAATATCCAACAATAAAATTAAGGAAGGCTGTTTTTTAATGAAATATCTAATTGTATTAAATTTGTTTAAATTTGCATAATATTTGCATTATATTCAATAAAATATTCTAATTTGTATAAATATCTATTGTTATAGTTGGTGCAATGTGCTGATATCATTACTTTTGTAGAAAAAAAAATAGAAATACTCTTTTTATAATAAGATCTTTTCAAATAATTAAATCATATAGTTACTGTTCGTGTATCATTAAACGTGCAGCTTTGAATTCTCGACTAGGAAAGCTCCAGTTTTCCCTAGTCATCGGTTATGAAAATTCAATCGGCATCACGCCACTTTTGCATTTTGTTCCGTAATGATATAACGAGACACGGTAGTGTCTCGCGCCAAGTATAAGCGTAGCTAGAACCGCGCGCGCGTTATTACATACGTCGCACGCTTTCCGCGCGTCTTTAAGCTAGTATTCAGTATTGGTAGACGATCCGTTCGACGAGTTTACCGCAAGTTTCAGGCTTCCCGCCGTCCAGCCCCGCGGAGATCGGTTCGCGATCGTTCGAGTTATAAATTACAGCGTGCCGCCTGCCTCCTTTTCGCGGACGGAGCCGCGGAAAATACTCCCTAAGAGTGGCGATATCGCAAAAAGAGCGAAAAGGGGGAGAGATAATTCGCGGGTACCGCGGCGGTAAATCAGTCAAGGGGGACGTTGAGAAGTCGGGAGCACCGCGCTCGTAAAAGGGGTGAACACACGCCGAACGGGCGATCGTAATTTATACGCGTCGTTACGACCCCTCTCGCTCGCTCGCTCGCTGTCTCTCCTCCCCTCCGCGCTCCTCTCGCCCAGCAGGCATCTCGTTTTCCCTAGAGCCACACGGCCAAGGCAACAGGTGTCGGGTGTGCACCGCTGCACAATACCTGCGCGCTCCGCACCGGCGCTCGCCGAGAGGTATAATGCACCCCGCCGCGGTTCGCGGAGTTTCGCGGTGCGGGTCGCGCTCGCGTAATGGAGACCCTACGGGTGCGAGCCCGAGACCATGCCTTTGTCATCCGTTACAGAGTCGCGAATCCGCGGGGGCTGTGTCTCCGTTCGCGGAACACGTCGCGCCGTGCCGCGCGTTAATGGCTCGGATCGCGCGCGGTGTGTCTTTGATTGCCCGGGAATGCCGCTTGCGGAATGCCGATAGTGCCTGATCGACGTGTCGTCTCGCGTATTTCGGATAATATCGGGGAGGGGGAAATGCGAGATCGAGAAAGAAACTCGCCGAGGAAGAATTGAATACCCGGAATGCCGCGACAAGAGTATCGACGCAGGGCATGAATAATTCGTTCCCTTAAGAAAAAAAATGTATGCACGTTGCTCTGTAATTACGTTTATCATTAAACAACCCCTGACGGATTCGTCGAACGTCGATTTCAAAACGGTCAATTTGGAAGAAAAAAAAAAGATTGATTACAGTTGGAACAAACTCGATGATTATAGGACGGCCTGTGTAACCTGTAATTACAATTACAACTGACACGTAACTCCCATATGCCCGCCGTACGTGACGTGACGATTGAAATTCCGCGTTTCTGCGTTTCTCAGCGTCCACCTCGCCGCGGAGGAAATAACGTGCGAATGCGTTAAGAACTCGTCAAATGTGTTAACAAGCTGCACGATTACAGAGGCCGAGGAGTAAAAATGCCCGGCAACCTTCGTGCCATGCGACGCGGAATGATACACGTCAGCGAATTGCATATTTGCTACTGGGCGCGCTTGATGAGATAATCGTCGCGTCGATTAGTCGCGCGTTAATCGCGTTATCTTAATCGGCCGATCCAATGTCGATGCGCGTGCAAAGTTCCAGCGAGTTCCTCTATTAATATTGTCCCGCTGAATCACTTGACCGGCAGCTTTCTTTCCACGCTCGCGTCCAATTTAAATTTCTCGCGTTCGCGCCTGCGAGCGTTTGCTTGACCCGAGCCGCATTGTTTCAACGTCTCGTCGGCGCGCGCCGACTTGAGAAAATTGCGTCCACCTGCCAGTAATTCAACGATCCGGCCTGGAAATCCGTTGCGTAGATAAAAATTCCCCGTTTAAGGAACGATTGAACGATCAAAAAGTGAGAAGCACGTGCTCTCTTTACACATTTCTGCGAAGGCATTAACGTGAAATTTAAACGTTACGCTACGCCGCGAATACTCTGTCGCAAAGCAAATTTCAAACAGTCGACCCTTTGATAAAAGACGTGGCTCCTCTCCAAAGAGAGAAGAGGAAGCTGTGTAAAAGGGAGACTCGAAGAGACAAGTTGAACGGGTGATGGAAAATGGACGCGATTTCATTTTATGTAAATTGTCTCTGTACCGCAAGAAAAATAAATCCGGTCTCTCGCGGAAAGCACTTCCGGCAGCTGGCTTCTTTTTCCGATTATTCGGCTATGAGCGCGGGCACGCGCGCGGGTTCTCGCGCGATGGCGCGCTATTTCGGCCGGCGCCACGGCGCGCAGTGGGCCAAACGCTATTATTAGCGGCGACAAGCCGGCAAAAGTAAAGTGATCGATATATTACGCGGCCGTGCGGGAACGCGGCGATAAAATTTGACGCGCTCGTTATTTTATTCCAAGTGCCAAGAAGCCGCTCGGGAGAATTCGCGCGACGGGCGGAGAGAATTTTGCGCCCAGAGTACTCGCGCGGACAAGGGCGCATTTTACATCCCCCTCGTTGGTTTCTCGCGCAAACAAAACGTCAGGGCGCACTATAAGAAAGCTGAGTTTATCTTAGCAAGGTCCGCCGTAAGTCACTTCAATAAAATAATTCCTCGGCGATGGGTTCCTACAGCCGATGCGTCCGGCGTGAAGTGAATTCTTCATAAAATCCGAATTGAAAAGAGTCGGGAAAGCAATGGCGAGCGAGAGAGCGAGAGAGAGAGAGAGAGAGAGAATCGCGACAAAAAAAATTAAGGGGGACACCGTTCTATCGTTGTCTCGCCGCGCGCCGCGTAGCGGGAAAATCTGCCCGAAGGACATGCCGAGTGGGAGACTCAAACGATTTCTCGCACTAAAAGAACATACAGTGTCGATTTACGAGTCAATTAGTATGATAATCCGCGATTTACGCTCGGCGTAGCCTTGGCGAGACGCGCACTTTTGCCCTGTGAGAAACGCGCCGCGGTTGAATTCGCGTGGATCCCTGTTTGAGGAAGATCGACAATCGGAAATCGATTTGGGAATCGTGGCGAGGGGTAAGCGTCTCCAATTTATCCCACGTACCGATTATCGCGAAAGTGCACCTATCAAAAGTCGGCAGCGATTATCAAAGCGGATAAGAGCGCGGAAAAGAAAATGTAGCTGGCGCAGCTAAAAACTGCACGTGGTAACTAACTTTCAGTTGTAAAATATAGACAGCTAATATTTGGTTGCGATAGCTAAATATTTTGCTACTGTGCCTATCATTAGGTGCGACCAGCAAACCATTAACTGCGGTAGTGAAAATTGCTTTTTCAGCGAATAGTTCCGTCTGACTCCTCAACATTAATTCGTGACATCGTAGTAACCGAGGCGAACGAATCCCGGATGCGATATTAATTTCACGGCGAGCCAGCGAGATCCCCGCACGATTATCAATCGGTGCTCGGGCCCCTCTAATTATTAACGCATCCTAATTTATCAGCCCGGGATTTTCAGGCGGTGACTCCACTGCGGATTTCTGCAATTCACGAGCCGAGCTCTTATTATACGCCCGCGCGAGCGAACGGGCGCAATTACCGGCCTCGCGCCGTCGCCGCGCCGCGCCGCGCGCCGCGCGGAAAACGCGGGTGTAATTACAATCCGAAGAAACGCCCGTTTTCCCACGGCGAACATCGGTGCGAGAACTTGGGCCGATACACGGCCGGCCGGTGTAATTCGATTGTCCGTCTCGGCCCGTTACTCCGCGCGCGGGCCTCTCTCGCATAATTATGATAATGCGGCGCGTGGTAACGCGCGGGGAAAACACATGCACGATGCGATCATTACAGCGGCGTAGCTACCGCGCGGCGGGAATGAGAGGAGTTTAGCTCGCTATTATCGGTCCCTCCCCCCCTTCTCCTTTCCCGACACTTGAAAAATGTCAGAAGATACGCCGAAAGACGAAAGAAACGTTGCATCTCGCTTTAGCGCTAGACACTCGTAACTGAAATATTTTTTCATTGTATTCACAACTGCACTGTCGCTCGTACTGTCGGCGCGAAAGGGGGGTGAGAGAGAGAGAGAGGGGGGGGGGGGGTACTTATTGCGAAAGAATTTAAATTTGACGTTGTCCAAAACGCGCATCCCTAATAGTGACATAGGAAGGCGATGTAATGGCATTTAATACTCGAGACTTGCATAAGAATGCAATAATTCCAGCTACGCCACTGAATCGTTATGAACAAATTCTCTGGTCACCGGGTACAAAAGGCCTGGCGTCCCGCGACGTCGGAAAAAGCGCCTTCGCATTGTGTTCCGTAGAATTGCATACATTTCGTAGAGTTTATACTTATATCACGGCGATATGTGTGCACATTTTCATTGCGGACGCATTTATTTAGCATTTTAGCCATGCACGGCGCGGTCATTAAGAGGGGGGAGTAAAATAAAATGAGACTTAGTCAGCGGATATAAAAAGGAGTCGCGCCTTACAATGAAATGATTTTTTTACATTTTACATATATTTCGTAGCGGAATTTATTTTATGTTGCACGTTGGCAGCGTTAAAGGCTACGCTTTCACGACTGCAATATTTATATAATATTGTTTCAGTGTCTTATCAGTCATAAGATGTGTACGTTTCATATCTTATCCTTTATGGTTAAAAATATTTTTAACTTCTTTGTAACCAGCATTTCTTTACAACAAATATGGTATTGCAATTATTGAGGCAAGTTTAATATTATTAGGGGAAAGTCTCCTGTTATGAGATAAACTCCTAATATGAGACAGCAGGGTTTTTGCTAAATTAATCTGTTGGTTTCATCGTTAATTTATTGCCCTTGGAGCGAAATATGTTTGTTTCAGTGTGTTATCAATCATAAGATGTGCACGTTTCATATCTTATCCTTTACGGTTAAAAGTATTTTTAACTTCTTTGTAATCAGCATTTCTTTACAACAAATATGTTATTACAATTATTGAGGTAGGTTTAATATTATTGCAAGGTTTCTGCAAAATTAATAGGCATCATCTGTTGGCTTCCTCGTTAATTCATTGCCCTTGCAGCGAAATACGTTTAATGAAAACTTCATTGTTAGATCGTGTAATCGTTGTGAATAAAAATTTGTAATTAAATTTTGATGTTGAAAAACTGCTATCTCATAATAGAGAACTTTCCTCGAGGTGTGTGATTTAGTTTTAAGGGTTTTTTTCTTCTCAAAAATTGATTTGACGTTTAGTAACTGTTGTACGTAATCAACATTTAATGCTCTGGCAGATTCTGAAGTGAATTGTGTTGGATTTTCGGCCAATCATGCTTGCAAATCTGCATTTTCAAGCTTTTCCGGTTGTCCCGCGCGAACTTTGTCGTTAACGTTAAAACCACTTCTGAATCTAAACCAATATTCACATGTCTTAATTGACGGAGCAACGTCACCACAAGTTTCTACAAGAATTCTATGACCTTCAGCCTCCGTTTTCTTCTGATTAAAAACACAAAGCAACGCACGTGGAAAATGCTCCTTAGGAAGCTCCATTTTTACGACAGTACAAACACGATTTTTACTACATCCATTGTTAGTAAGTGACTAAATATTATGGATTAATATTAAAACATTAAGGAGCAATAGCTGTGATTGAAGTATCTTCGGAAAAAACTGACATTAATGCCATCTCTCACAAAACCCTGAAAAACTAAATCACACATCTAATACATTAGGCATTTTTGTAGGCGTTACTTAGGACTTTAAGGAAAGGATTTGAAGAAAAGTTTATGCCGCTAAATTTTCCACTGGGATACACAGAATAATAATAATAATGGACACGATAATAAATATATCGTTGCTTATGTCGAAATACCGAAAATGCGACGAGTTGTAAATAATGAATTATCACGACACACGCGGCGCGGTAATTTATGCGTATTTCGCATTTCTGTTACATTATGCGATAACCACGATTTCTCGCGCTAACAGCGATGCAGAAGGCGACTGCGCCGGAATTAGGATAAACACGCGGTAATGGAGTCGCGATGGACGATACAAAAATCGTGCCGGCCAACCTTGTCGTCTTAATGAAGAGAGCGGCTCAAATCGCGGCTGTTAAGAAGTTAATAAAAAGAGCGATAAATGCATCACGGGGAGTGACGAGCTGCGCCGATAAAAGTGATCTCATTAAATCAAGTTACCCCTTGCCCTCCCGCCGATACGTAACGCGTATCGATTTTGCGGGTTACAATAAGCATGTAACGCTGCGCGCGCGAAGATAAGCCGGAACGCAGCGAATCTTCCTCGCGCGTCGGCCGAGGAGAAGAAAATCGCCGAGCCGAAAGCGCCCGAAAGCTCCAAGTCGCTCGTGATCGGCGATAAAGAAAAATCGGCGCAGAACGGACGGCGAAGAGAGATATGTGCGAGGGGAGGGGGGGCTTCGATAAAGACTCGACTGTGGCGTACCAGCAGACGCTATAGGGCAATTACAAGGTCAACGGGCCAAGGAAAACGTCGTCCAGATACTCTCGACTCGAGGTCATCGTCTCCGCCGAGCACTAGCCGAAGAATTTTCGATCGCGCGATTCCGCCTTCTTCGCTCCCGATGCGACCCGAAACGAGCGAGGACCAAGGACTGATGATTCAGCAAAGAGAGAAAAAAAAAGAAAAGGCATAAAAAGATTTTACCACTTGCAATAAAAGATTTCGTCCCGCTACCTTTTTTTTTATTTCAGAGCCCGAGGCTGTGTGTTAACGGAGCAGATTTTCGTACAAAAATTCATATGAGACTAGAGTGAAGTTCGCATGAAACTGTGTTCCAACGTATTTATAGATAACTAAAAGATATAGAAGTCGAAAGAAAAATATTAGCGATTTTTATCCTATTTTTAGACAGCTCAAGGGGACTCATTTAATTTCGGGATGTGACAATATACATTGAAATAAAAATAAAACGCTTTAGGACTCCCCTTCATTCCGAAAGTAAAAAAAAATTTACAGCGCAGGGCAAATAACCGAAAATTTATCGGTCATAAGGCGGATATTCGATCAGATATACGCGCGTGCGAGTTTGAGGCTTGCATGCCAGCAATGTATATCGAATTTAAACCTGAAGAATTGGAATATGTGTGCATTCTAAAAGTAGAACTATAGCTCAGAACAAATTGCTGACGATTGTTTGTCGCAGAATTAAATTTCAATCAAGTGGGACACGAAAATGCAAGAAACTTAATTTGCATTTTTTTGCACGTTTCTCCCTCGTGATTGTGCGTTTCGCGATCGTTAATGCTCGTCGCAAAAATTGAACAGCGCCCCGTTAGATCACTCGATTCGCCGAACAGTTTCACCGGACAGAAATTTCTCCGTTCGGTAATAAAGTAAATAAACATCAATGCACTCTCATTGCGCGGTAGCTCGGTATGGTGCATTAATTCCTACTGCTAATTAATTCTAATAAGCATTTAACAGTCGCATTTCTCTAAACCGACTAATGAGAAAGGATTAATTAACCGGAGAGAAGAAAATAGCCGGCTATTATTAAGAAAACTGTCGTGCTTTTAGAATCAGTTAATAGTAAATTTGAGAAAAATTCCATAATAAAACAATTAACCGACGAATAAATTCGCGTAAGAATGCGGACGGTGTATCACCGTTCATTAAATCGAAATGTGCTTCAAGATTAATGAGTCACGAATCGATTTAGTCTCACCGTTTCGTTGCAACTGGCGTAATGTGGATAAAAAATAGTAGAAAGCAAAAACGTCTCGTTTCGTCTTTGCTTAGGTTTTGCTCCAGATCAATCGGTGATTTTTAATCGTAACTTATATTCAACTCTATAACGCATTTTTAATTAATGTTACATCGCTTCCAAATCGATGCACTAATCTTACGAGAAAAAAAACAGGTTTAAATAGAGGGGAAAAAACAAAGTTAAATAGAGAACGTTATAATAGCCTCGCGGTTTACCCTGCTCCATTTAAGAGTGTCTACTATTCATTAGATAAAATTATTATAATCTGCTTGTTATTATCAAGATCACTATATTATAGTAAAAGCAGGACAAGGAGTGTGATTTACTAATAAAATAAAATTTATCTTGATCACGATAATTTTAACGACGGATAGCAGTCACGAATGCGTCCCACATTCGAAGCTCCTTCGTTCGCGGCGGCTCCAAGTCCGCTCAATGGCATTGCCTGCTCTAATCCCGAGATATATGGACGACCGGTATGCTAATGACTAATTATAATTATCGGCTTACCATGAGCTTTTCCCGATCCAGATGAAGCAGATCGCTGCCTTTGATGTCCTTTGACTTGAAGACGTCCGCATAGCGGTACAGATTTAAGGCTGACATCCATTCAACTACGTTCACCGACGTCCACTCACTGACAGGCTGCGAACAGAGAAACGAGACGTAGATCGTAGGTGGGCATCGATGGCACGCAAGAATCAGCGACGACTAATCGAGCCACGTTCAACTCGCGCACGAGGAAGCACGCGCACGCACACACGCGTGCACTTTCACGCGCGGCTCGACTGGCCGTAATCCCGGCTAGATCGCGTGAATTACACACACACAAAAAAAAGAGAGAGAGAAATAAATTACAGTGACGTAAAGACTGCTTGGCAAGGACAATAATGTAACAGTCTTTGAATAAAATTGTTTTCATAATTACGCGATCGCGTATTCTATATACAAAATACCTCGCCTCGAAAGTTTAAGAGCTTCGCACAAACACGGAGCCGATTTTCAGAATGTCATCATTTTTCACGACCTTCCGATTTTGAATATTAAGTGTATTTCTAACCGTACTTCAACCCGATACTTTACAGAAGAAAGATTTACCTCGAATAATAATGCCGTGCGTATGTTTATTTATCCCGCTAGAAACAATTATCGCAGAATTCTCGAGTACGACTCTGAGACACGCTAGAACCTACCAGTGGCAACGGATAAAAATAATATGACTCGTGAACGCATCGACGGTGAACCGTGTAAAATTCTCTTTAACGCGCGTGATTAAACGATTCTTTGCAAACGGAAGCGGATAATGAGCCAGGCTGTTCCGTTTGCCGGTCAGAACGCACGCGTTTATTATCCGCGAGATTTTCAAATGAGAACGTGCGACGATTTCCGGCCTCGTCACGATCTATTAGAATTTGTGTGTTTTCGTTTAGCGCAACAACGACACTAATTTCTTTCTGTGCCGTGACACCAGAACCGCTTCGCAGAACGACACGCGCAGTAAATTGGGATAATCGCTTCTTGTTAATCGGTCGAACTGGAAGAGAGAAAGTCGGGATAATAGTGTAGATCTCCTCGGATATACGTCTGATTGCAAATATCTAATTTTTTTCCCCTTAACAAGAAGCGATTCGATAAATTTATCCGAGTACTTTACTCGAGTTGCCATTTTCGAGATTACATTATATTTTCTGTTAATTAACGGCCGACATATTTTTTTGGTGAATAACCTTTTGAACTATAGCTTAACATGACGTAGTACCTAATGAAATTGCTAATCTTGTGTTGTGACAGCAACACATACACAATTAAGATAAGCCCCCGATTTAATTAAGATGTCTTTCGTGCATTTCAAGTGTATCTCAAGGAATACTGCGAAACTCTATGCGAGTGCCGCGGCAGTTCTCGCAATTACCGCCGTAATAGACACGTCAAATTTCTCTTTAAAAAAAAGTTCAATCGAATCACTTACAATCAGATTTGTTTTTATGCGTGCATTCGATATGGCTGTGGTTTGATTGCGATACAAGCTGTCTCTATTATGGCGAGGCCCCAGGGAACACCTAATCTTATTTCCACGCATCGTTATACGATTAGCTAGCGGGAAACTAAACTCGCCGCGACTTGACAGTCACAAAATGGCACTGCGATTTATTTCAGAGAAATTTCCCAAATTCGATTATTCCCAGTCCCTATCCTCTCTCGCTGAACGTCACATTCAAATGTTTATTTACTTAATAGATGCAAAATAAAAATGAAAAAAAAAGAATGGGTACTCTGCGTCGGTCCATTAACGCAAAATCCCCGTCAGTTTCAATTGAATGGAAAATTCAAATACCATCAGTGATCTTCATTTAATTATCAACGAGTGGTTAAACCCTCGACGGTAACAAAAGCGACACGCTCTGTACACCGTCATACAATTATAACAATATTTCCGTCGTATCAATATTTCCATACTAATATCCTGTATTGATAATTGATTGATAATTATGATTCTCAGTTAACGATCATTTAATGCATACGTGCGTAATATCTACATGTATATCATCGTTACGTAAATTTAAAAAAAAAGAGCAACAAAAAGCAAAGAACGGCCGTCCAGCTAGAATTTTTTTCCACGGACGACTCTATTCTCTCTCTCTCTCTGGACAAGTGCTGTTATCCGGTGCCGCGATCGGCGAAGGATTACGTAAAAACCACGCGCGAGAAGCGTCTCCGGATTTTCTCGATCCCGAAGATAAGACGCGTTGCCGAGCGTTTAACGGACCACGCGGCCGGCCGGGTCCGATTAGATAAATCGACGAGGCGCGATCGAGGAGGCGCGGCGAGGACGGAGAAGGGGAGGCGATGCGAGGAGAGGAGACATCTCCGTGTGCCGCCAACCGCTATCACGGGTAGCGCGGGCCCCGATAAAGCGAGGAGCGTAAAAAGTGCGGGGAAAAAAAGAAAACGTAACCTCTCGCCGCCGAGACGTAACCCCGAGTCCGCGATATGACGACAGCCGCGAGATAAGCCTGTCGTCCTCGTCCGAATAATCCGCGTCAGCCGGCAACGCGCGTTACATCCGCGCGGCGTCCGTCCGTCCGTCCGATCGACGCGCTCGATTAATCTCCGTCCAAGAAGATCGTTTCTCCCTCGCTACATCCCGCCGGCACCACGCGAGAATTAAATCGCCGACGTCGCGAATTTTTGCTACTCGACCCCGCTAATCTGGGGATGTGCTCTCGCCGCGGGGAACCTATTTCGCGGAAGTCGTCATCCCTGCGACGGAAATCCTACCGCGATACGGCGAGCGCTGAGACGTTTGTAGGACGCCTTTTCTTCGAAGAGGTTCTGCGACGATCGATGCCGATCTTAGATCACGCGTGGGAAAACGCCCGCGATCGTGCCGAGTCTTACGGTTTCGACGACGAGGACGCGCTAAATGACTTTCGCGCTCGACCCGTTAAACTCGGTTGGGGATCAAATTCGAGACTTGCGCGGATAAATTGACTTTCTTGACAACATCATCCGTTCTAATGACTCGCGCGCTGCAATTAGACATAAATGCACATTTACTCCACTTAATCTGCTCAATCATCTGTGAATCACGGCTTACCGCTACGCGAAAGCCTATCCCAGTTTTCTCAAATTGAGATATTTAAAACATATAAAGCGCGGTTTATCGCTCCTCGCGTTTACATGATTGATTTCATTAGGACTTTCACCTACTTATTTTTTTATCCCGTCGGCAGAATAAAAACAATTTACGTAACATAGTTTAC